CCTTCAATGGGGTAAATATTTCTAATTAAATTTAAGACACAACTATTTTCTTAAAAAGCTATCACTTCAAGGAAAGTAGGCTTATTTGCACCAGCATCAGTACAGAAATGTGAGTAATATGTTGTCCGCAATGTTAGGGCAGCTACAATGTCACAAGGTAATGGGAATTTTTCAGTTCCATTAGGATCTTATGGGACCACTGTTATATATGTGTAATTACAAAATATTTGTCTTCAGTTTTAATTTAAATAACCACTTTTTAGAACATGAGATGTTTTAATTTATTTGACTTTTTAATATTTTTATTCCTAATGCCAAGGAATGGACTAAATTATATCTGAAGACCTTTCTGAGCATAAAGAATTCTATTATTAATCATCTAAATATATAATGTGGAAAGAGCGTTTTGTGATTAGAAATATGTATCCATATACAAATAGATACATACACATACATACATATGCATACACACACACATATTTACACATTATTTTCACAGGATATATCCATATTCCCCTTCCTACACCCATCTTCTCTCCTTCCTGCCCAGGACCCCCGATTGGTGGTTCTGCCTTTGCCAGTAGAGCTAGTGGAAGTCTCCAGAACTCCCATTCCAAGTCCGCAGGCTAAGTTAGCAGCTTAGCAATTTAGAGGGAGGTGGGGTGAGACACCCTTTTGGTCACCATGGGGATAAGGGATGAACTGGAGGATGCTGGACAGAACAGAGACTAAAAGCAAAAGAAATCTGGGTGAACCCTTGGACCTAGCTAGTGCCAACTCAAGTAGGTCTCCGAGTTTCATTACCCTCCAGGCAGTTACAGCATGAGTACAAAACCATCAATCCCACATCATGTATTATTGATATGGAGAATATATTTATCTCCAGCCAATGAAATATTTACATTCTGAGAATATAACTTGAAGTTCAAATATTTTGCCGAAATGGAAAGAGTTTCGAGAAAATTCAGTGCTCAGAAATGCCAGGTATGTGGGACAGCTCACCGCTACCCTCCCACCAAAATCAAAATTGGCACCTGCGTACACCATTATAACGTTATTAAAAACCTAAGTGGGCCCTGGCCAGTGTGGATCAATTGTTTGAGCATCATCCCATGTGCCAAAAGGTTGCCGGTTTGATTCATGGTCAGGGCACGTGCCTCGGTTGCAGGCTTGATATCCCCAGTAGGGGGCGTGCAGGAGGCAGCAGGTGGATATTTCTCTCTCATTGTTTCTCTCTCATCAATGTTTCTCTCCCTCCCTCCCTCCCTCTCTCTCTAAAATCAATAAGAACATTACAACACACACACACACACAAAGGGGAGGTCAAGTTAATGTTATTTTTTCAATGACTATTACATTATTCTTATTTTTTTCCTCAAGTAAAACCCTTTGCTTTAAGAGCTCCACCCTTCTCTTAGCTCTCCCCGAGTTAAGAAAGTCTTGAATAATTCCCAACTTTACCCAGAATCCTTTTCATCTTCTCCCTGCTTAACAGAACCAAGCCTGTTAAATAACTGCGGCTTATTTAATGACAAGTAGCAAAAGCAAACCTCAGAACCTCTGGGCCAAATGCCTGAGGAATGACTCCATCCCACTGCTCCTCAGGGAAACACCACAGCAAGACCGCACAGGGGATTCCCTCAGACAGGAACAGCCTGGCCTGGGCTCTTGGAGAGTCGGCGAAACACCTGCCTTCCCGGGTCCCAAGTCTTCCCACTCTTCCTTGGATTTTTCTCAGATCTGTTTTGTTTTGCGCTGCCCCCCCCCACCCCCCCAATTTATCTCTGCCTTCCACCAGGTCCCCTTCTCTTTCAGCCCAGCAGGAGGAGGGAGGAGGGAGGAGGGAGCTAGAGCAGGGTAGCCTGCCTGAATCCCTTAATCCCTGGCTGTTACTCACCAGGAGAGAGAACAGGAGCTGCCTGCAGAAGAGGCCCCCCGGGGCAGCGGAGGCTGCAGCCATCAGAGCGGTCCCAGTGGCAGGGACGTGGCTTGGTGACAGGGCAGCTGGGGATGCACCAGGCGCCGAGCAGATTCCCAGAGGCTGGCACTGAGCAGGGTCCTCTGCTGCTCCCCTGGCCCTGAGCAGCTGGATTTGGAGGAGAGTCAAGAGTCCTGCTGAGTGACAAGAGGAGGAGCAGCCGGAGAACTGCTTCCCTCCTCTGCCTGGGTCAGCCTTTCTCCATCCAATTCAATTCCCTCGGAATGTGAGAGGTTTGCCTACCAGTGGGGCGGGTGGGGTGCAACACAGCCCCAAACCCAGTCACTGGCTCCTCCTCACTGCAGCTTTCAAAACTTCCCCCGCCACTTGACACATCAGCAGAAGCAGGAGGGAACTCCCTGGCCCTCCTCCCCTTCCCCCCAGGTGGATGCTCTGAAGTCCTCCCCAGTCATTACCCACTCCCACGATCTCCCCTCCCTCTTGGCCTTATTAACCTATCTTGCCCCGGGGTGCAGTTGTGCAGGACTCCACGCAAGGAAGTGACACCTACTCAGCTGCCATTGGCAAATCAGGGGACACAGGCACATGCAATCGCATCATCAGAAGCTATCTCCCCATCTGAGCATCTGGGTGGAGGCTGGCTCACTCAGCGCCGCAGCTCTGAGCTCTGAGAGCGGGCACTCCTCAGGAGCGCACACAGGCATCCTGCCTACTCCCGGTGCTGTCTGCCCTCGGGGGCTTGGTCCTCCAGACGCCCCAAGAAATTGAGCAGAATGTAGATAGTCCTCAGAAAAGTAAGAGAGTAAAGAAATGGCCGAGATATGATTTTCTGGTTGCATACTTTTTATTGTGCACGAAGCAATAGTTTTTTCTTGAGTATCTTTATTCAAAAGCAACAACTGTCTGAGACCAACTGTCTTTAAAATCACTCCATTCATCCTAATTACTTGCACATTACATGCAGGATATCCTAGCCTAAAAGTATGAAATGTCATCACGTTTATTCTTTTAAACACGAGTGATTCTTGCAATGAAGACTTTAGCACCAGTTCTCCTGCCACAACTTAGTGAGTTCAATATCAAGTGCACACGACATCCGTGATGGCATCTGGGGAAGGAGGGGAAATATTTTCAAGTGGTAATTGCTTAATTCGGGGAAGAGATAGGGAAGTAAAGGTAACCATGATGGGCATTTCAGTGAGTCCTCCCGAGCAGTCCAGTGAGGACTCCTTTTAAAGGATGAAACGGTGAGAAAGTAAGCAAGCACCGTCGGCCCATGAACCCACAGACAATGGGAAGTACACATCTGAACCGGGTCTCACTGCCACCGAGGTGCAGTCACTTTGGAAAGGAGCAGAAAGTATTGATCGGGCTCATGAGCAATCTGTCTGGCTGGACAAGAAGCCAGTGTGAGACTAATAAAAGGTATTCAGGAGCACTTAAAATCTACTCCCATTCCTGACAGCCCATTGTTCCAGAATACGCCCACCTGGGCTCTTGCGTGAGAGTCATCCTACAGCGAAGTAAAATGGCTGGTAAACTACTGACTTTGTAAGTTTTTATACCAGAAATGACTCTTGCTGCTCCTGCTACTCACATTTCCTTCCATCTCATGCTTAACTGACGAGTAAAGGGCCAGCCCGATCCCCAGGCGCAGGGGAAAGTAGGAGGGAACGTTTTCTTTTGCTTCTTTGCAGTCACGGGCCAGAGAGATTTGGGAAATAAAAACTCTTCCATGGAACAAGAACTAAATTTAGCCCTTGGCTGATTTGGTCAGTGGATGGAGCGTCAGCCGGGGGACTGAAGGGTCCCAGATTCGATTCTGGTCAGGGCGTGTGCCTTGGTTGCTGGCATATCCCCAGTGGGGGGTGTGCAGGAGGCGGCTGATCTATGTTTCTCTCATCGATGTTTCTAACTCTCTATCCCTCTTCCTTCCATTCTGAAAAAAAGCAATAAAATATATTTTTTTAAAAAAGAACTAGAAGATATCTTTGTAGTATTTTATTGCCAAAGATATAGCCACCAATAAGTATATTTTATGCCTGCATTGAAATTTGATTTCTCAATAAGAAAACAAAAACACTTTAATTGACTATTTTTATATCTAATATTTTGGGGGAAAGGATGGAAATATAGAAATAAGAATAAGTACCTAAGTGGGTGCATGTAGACCCAAGTGTAACTCTGTGTGTGCATGTTTAAGCATTTAATTATCTAAGTGTATATCTAAATGTATATGTCTGTAGCTTAAAGATTCAAGGTCTCCAGTCCTGGAAAGTGGAAATACATTTTCCTCCTAATGAAGTCCTTGTTACATCTTCCTATATTATGGAAATGGCAAAGAATGCATTACAAAAATTAGACTGGCGATACTGAAAAGTTAGCATGCATTGCCTTTTGGAGAGATGTGTGGATTGCTAAGGTCAAGTGAGTCCAGTATAGTCTCCACGGCTCTGCAAAATTGATTATTTTGATCCTGCTTCTTTTAGGCTGCATTACGTTTCTTCGCCCATTATCTACCTCAAAAGTAATTAAAAAAAAAACTTGTTCTTACTATAAAGATGAAAAAGAAAAGGTAAAGATGAAAAGGAAAGAAAAAAAGAATCTTGACAACAACAACAAACTTGTACAAAAGCTGATTCCAAGTCATTGGTTTGGTCACATCAAAATATTTCTCCCAGATTTTCTACTTATACACAAAGGTTTCCTTATCTAAGTACTTTATAAGAAAACTGTAGTAAAATTGATTACCTTAAAATCAAGTTAAATAAAAACAAGATTTATCTCTTCCAATTTCCTGCCATCAGGCTCTCAGAGAGAGCCGTATGTTATTTTTTTGTGTCTGCTTGCTGTATTTGTTTGTTCTAATCCATGTCGAACAACATAACTGAATAACTGGTCATGCAAGGCAGTGGCTAAGAGCTTAGATTCTGCAGCTAGACTCCCTGTGCTCAACAACCAGCTCATTACTTACTAGCAATACACCAGTACAGCAGTTTCTTGACCCCTCATGCCTCGGTCTCTTCATCTATAAAGTGGGAGTAATACCAGCTGTTCATTCCTAGCTTATTATGAGGATAAATGTGGCACTACTTAGAAAGCACTTGGGACAGTGTCTGGCTCATAACAAGCACTAATTTTTATAGCATGTAATTGCCTAGGTGCGCAATAAAAAGTTAAAGAGACTGGACTTAAAATGAAACAAATGAAATTATTGCAAACCCAAGGCCTCTTAGGTAATAGCTATCCAAAGATATGCAAGGAGATTTATTCATTGAACAAATATTTAAGGTCCTCCTAGGCAATGAGTACAATATACAGAATAAAGAAGACAGAAATCATATTATTTTTTTTAAAAGTCACACGTTGTAAAGAAGAACACAAATGTAGTTCTCCTTCCAGGTCAATGTGTGGGGTAAAAGAGGCACTGTAGCAAATATTAAGTATCTCTGCAATTTAGAGAGAAATTAAGAATACACGATGATCGCATTCATAGTGCAGAGCCTCCTATAGAAGAGAATTTACTTTAAATACGTAAATGTTGCACGATATGTTTCCCACCACAGATTTATGGTTGTACAGAGAAAGATTTAAATCTAAAAACCCATATGACCTTTACAGTTCTTTATTTTTATCTTAAGGTGTGTCAAGAAAATACACTGTCCTATGAAGTTCCAAGTATGTGTCTTATGGAAATACAGCGACAAAGTTTATGTTTATGCACAACCAACTTGCAGAAAGTGCTGGGTATAAATAAATTCCAGGCCTCAAAATAGCTGCTTACTGATAGAATTATTACCTCTGACCAGTGAACCAATTTGTTCTATAAGATGCTGGACTGTAGGAATGCTGTACACATTAAGGAAGCCACAACAAGGCTCTTTGTGTTAAAGAGACACTACAGGGGTAAACAGGACATGTGATCTTAATATGGGAGAGTAGAAGTGTTTGAGCAAAGAAATAAGAAGTCTTGGCAACAGAGGGCCTCTTGGTCCTGTGAGTTCAACCTTCTGCAGTGGAAAACCCCTTTTATTCCACTGGACTCATAGACTCTTATCTGGGCAAAAGGTTATTAAAAATTAGAAGTAACACGTAGGTACTAATAATT